GTGAGAGTTGAGGGGTGCACTAATCAATGATCTATCAATAAGTCATTGTGATTCAGTTTAATATTAAGCCTATTTAGCAGAATGATAGTCCTATGTTCTCCCCTGTGGCCTGATTTGTGTAGACACAGGTTCTATCCCTGACAACAGTGTCAGGTGTGGACTCTCTGTTGTGAAAAGGACCTTAAATCCTTTTTTTAAAAACTTTTTTTGGTTCCTTTTGCCAGGATCTGGGAAGAGGGGTTCCGTGGGTCCATCTCATTTATCATTATTTGCCCCAAATTCATGTGTTGTTTTTGACACTGATGGGATGGGAGGTGGGCATGCTCACTGACAATCCTGATATCCAAGAAAGGACCAGGGGAGCACTCCCAGGTCAGCTGAAGGGATCTGGGACTCTGGGATGAGGCCAAGCAAGGTTATAGGGAGGAAGAGGTGGTACCCAGTGTCTTAAGGACAGAGCACATCACCCCTGCACAAACACCCCACAGTCAATGCAGACTGTGATGGGGACCCCACCCAAGAGAAGGCAAAGGGGGGTGAAGGGGGAGAGAAGGGAGAGGGGAGGGCTTGTTTCCACAACACACGTTCTCTCGATGCCAGCAGATGAACATTAGTGTCCTGGAGTCCCCACCCTCCCCAGCCAATCATAACAGGTTGGCGTCAGGCGTGTGCAGCCCCCACAGCCCTGAGCTGGGTTTGTTGTTCAATTGTCACTGTCTGGAAATTCTGAATTAAAAAAAATTATTTGTATTCTATGTGTCTAAGTGTTTTGCCTGAATCTATATATGTGTACCAAACAAATGCCTGGTGGCCACAGAGGCCAGAAAAGGGTGTCAAATCCCCCAGAACAGAAGTTATAGTTGTGAACTGCCATGTGGGTGCTAGGAACCAAAGTTGGGTTTTCTGCAAGAGCAGCTGGTGCTCTTAACTACAGAGACATCTTCCTGCCCCAATAAATTCCTTTTTTCCCTTTAATTTTAATTTTTTTGTTTTTTTTCAAGACAGGGTCTTCCTGTATCCCCAGCTGGCCTGGAACTTGCTATGTAGACCAGGCTGGCCTTGAGCTCATAGAAATTCACTTGCCTCTGCCTCCTGGGAATTTCCCATGCCTGGCAAATTTTTAATTTTTAATTTTTTTGAGATAGGGTCTTATGTAGTCTAGGCCAGCCTTGAACTTGCTATGTAGCTGAGGAGGACCTTGAACTTCTGATCCCCTTCCTCCATCTCCCAATTTCTGGGATCATAGGCGTGAGCCACCAAACCTGGTTTATCCTGGGGATTGAACCCTGTGCTTAGTACGTGCTGGGAAACTGAGACACATCCTTAGCCTTGAACGTCTTTTTAAAAAAGATATGTTTTCACTATTTTTAAAATTGTATTTATTTAGAGAGCTGGAGAGATGGCTCAACAGTTAAGAACACTGGCTGTTCTTGCAGAAGACCCAGGTTTGAATCCCAGCGCCCACATGGCAGCTAACAACTGTTTCAGAGGATCTGACAGCCTCTTCTCTTCTCCTCGGGCATTGTACAACATGGGTTCACTCACATACAGGCAGGCAATAAAATCTTTATTAAAATAAAGATTTAATAAATATTAAAATAAAATAAAATCTTTATTATTTTTATTCTATGTGTGTGTGTGTGTGTGTATGTGTGTGTGTGTGTGTGTGTGTGTGTGTGTATTGCCTGCCTGTACGTGAGTGCACCCATGTGCAATGCGGTGGAGGTCAGAAGAGGGCTTTGGATTCCCCTGGAACTAGAGTTAAGACGGTTTGTAGCCACCATGTGGATGCTGGGAATCGAACCCAGGTCCTCTGCAAGAGTAGTCAGTGCTCTTAACTGCTGAGTCATCTCTCC